ATTCCCAATGTCCTCCAACATGGCATGCATGTTGGTAGTATTACTGTGCAACTACTGTAACTGGGGCCACTTAGACATTTGGACAAGAGAACCAATTTAAAAAAACAATACATTCCAACTTTGTATCAGAAACCTAGACTGCATGATAATTGTAATTTGACCCTGATGTTCCGTGTAATCAACTAGATAGCGATCATTATAAAAAGATTTGTTGAAAGAATATTGTTTTCTCAGTGCTGATTTCTGATTGGCTCCACTGCCTACAATTTGATTGGTTCTTGCTGTATAAATGGCCTGGTTATAGTAGTTGCACTGTAAAAAAAAGATGAGAAACCTTGTTTAATACCACAAACATGTCTACAATGACGTCACATGCGCATGAAGAATCCCTAAAGATTAAATTCTGATGTCTTTAGGAACTGCTATCGTTAGAGAATGCAGCAAAGACTGTGTTATCAAAGGGCTACCCATCAAGAAAGGAATTCAAGTACTAATCCTACCTTACAGTATTCATCGTGACCCTCAATATTATCCTGACCCCGAGAAGTTTGACCCAGAACGCTTCAGCGCCGAGGCCAAGGCGTCACGTGATCCCTACACCTACCTTCCCTTTGGTCATGGTCCACGTAATTGTATTGGGATGAGATTCGCTCAGATGGAGATGAAGCTSGCTTTGGTTCGCATCCTGAAGAGRTTCACTTTTGTGGTTGCACCAGAAACGAAGATCCCTCCCGTGATGAAGATTAGGGCCGTTTTTGGGTGTGCCGAGGGTATACATCTTCGGGTTGAGCGTMGGCAGTAAAATGAATAGACCAGTTTCGAATTTCAAATTACCGCTGCGTTCCTTGATTACWGACTCATTTGCAAAGGGTTAGCCTCGTATYAGTGTTTAAATATTCACAAATACCAACGGTAAAGTAAAGAATGCACAACTTCAACAATACAAACACAAAAACTCGACGGACCTTGACTGGAACACGAGAATATTCTGCACAAAATCGAGGCTAAGCCTGAGTAAATGAGTCTGTAATCAAAAAAAACACAGCGGTAATTTGGAATTCGAAACAGGTCTATTGCTGAGTTGGATGCTTGGAGCGGGTGAAGTTTGATTGCTTTCTACTGTTTGGGCTGCCAATGTTCGGACTAATTCCCCACGCGGCAAAACGTGAAAACAGGCAACCCATTCATTAAAAAAGGAGGCTGCTACTTTGACGAGTTTTAATAGGATTGACAGTTTTTCATAGATACACTATCTATAGAGGAAGCTAGTTACTGAAAAATCTTCCACAGGCAGCAAAGTTTGGAATTTTCTCATTTTTCTTTCCCTGGGTACTGCAGTTTTCCATATTCTGCGAACTTAGGCATTTCAACGGCTTGCTGTGAAATTGGTTTRTCACTGACATCAGTCRAGAACATAGAAGGTACCAACTGATTATTTTTGATTGACGGCAGCGAACTACCAAGATTTCTGTGTGCAGCTTGTAACTACCAATATTGCAGAATATGGAAAACCACAGTAAATATTTTCCCATAAAAAGTTTAATTTCTATGTTGTGGCATTTTGTTGTTGTATTCTTGTTGGTGGTGCCGTTGATGTGGATTCGTTCTAGGCTACTCATTTGTCAGCTCTCCCAAATCCAAAATGGCGAACCCTTCAGAGCTAACTATTCGTCTGATGCATCTGATTCATCACATGCTTGACGTCATGCCGAACAGCGAAGAGAGTAGCCTGTKCCTGTGCCTGGGGATGGGACAATGATTGATAAGGATTTGTTGAGGTGGTAATCATGMAATTAATACCATGGCACACGACACGATAGAGAAACTGTTATTTTAACATGATATGCACAATTTACTGAACTTTCTTTCATTGGCCTAGTAAAATCACTAACTCTATAACAAAAACATTCTAAAAGATARAAAGCGATTGATAACCTAAATATAAAACACATTTACAAAATTACCAATGTCGTCTTTAAGTCTCGTCTGCACGAATTCCAAGCTTTGTAATCGCCATTTCCCTCAATGCTTTGCGATCAATCTTTCCTGATTTTGTAGCTGGAAAACTCTCCATGACCATTGTATATTTTGGCTTCAACGACAGCCCTTGCTCGTCCACTGAACACTTTAAATCCCATTTTTCAAACACGTTTCCATCCACTGACCTTCCACTTTTAGGGATAACGCATGCGCACAGCTCTTCGTACAGCCGTGCATCCGGGACACCAACCACTAGAACACTATGTACATCCGGATGTTTGACTAGGATTTGCTCAATTTCTGCTGGGTAAATTTTGACAGTAGCTCGCTTTATCACATCGGTTTTTCTCCCAAAAATTCTGATTCTGCCTACTTCATCGATGTATCCGAGATCTCCTGTGTGTACCCATCTAGTGGGAGATAACTTTGGCCGTTTCGTCAGGATCATTTAGGTATTCTAAGAATGTCGTCGGAGAACGTAATGCTATTTCACCCACTGTACCTAGCGGGACAAGCTTGTTGGTTTTATCAATGATTTTGACTTCATAAGGTGGTAGAATTTCCATGGGAATGTGAGCTTCATCCTCGATGACTGTATTTGGCAGAAAAACTCGAAGTGCCATAGCGCTTGTGCCGCATTCGGATAAAGTATACACTAAAATCAGCTCGCAGTGCGGAAATACGACCTTTAGCCTTTTAATGTCAGATACAGGAACGGTCTGCCCTCCAAAACCGAGGCTTTTTAAGCTACTTAGATCATAATCTTCTACTCTTGGACAACGCAGCATGTCTTTCATAAAGTACGGCATCAACAGCGCACTTGTGCACTTCTCGTCTTGAAGAATCTTCAACACAAAATCAATGTCTCCTTCTTTAGTGGATTTGTTTGACGGGACAGCTACAGTTGTATTACCATTTACCATTACCAAGAGAATGGATACAAGGCCTCCAATCCAGCAAAATGGCCTATCGTTGAAATATCGAGAAGGTTCACCTACGGATAACAAACCATTAACTAGCGCGTGTTGTGTTAGTTGAACAGCTTTTGGTCGACCAGTACTGCCAGACGTCAGCGTAACTGTAACTGGTTCATCAAACTGTACTTCTTCCTGTCTTCTCCAAACTTCGTCTACGCCAAGCTCTTTGCCTTGACTAAGGAGGTCGCTGTAATTTCTGCAGTTGGGGTGTGTTTTATCGGTGTCAGATCCAATAAATACGACAGGCCCTATGTCTGTTTGAATACCTCTTATGTCAAATGAATTCATCGAGTCTACATGCATGATGAATCCATGGCAACCGAGACGTTTCATGTAAGCAACAACTTCATCAGCAGGCCGTCCGTGCACAGGTAATAATATGGTGTTGACTCCAATCCGAAGAAGTGCAATGTAACATACCACAAACTCAACCTGCTTTGGGACCATATGGACAACCTTTTGGCCTCGCTTCCATCCAAGACGTAGAAACGAGGCAGCTAGGGCTAGAGACATTTCTTGGATCTGGCTAAAAGTGCAAAAAAAACACGTCAGTTGGTTAGTAAACGTTTTACACAAAAAGCGTCCAGAAACATAGAAAACCCAATTGGTTGGCTCAGTTGGTATAGAATTGCCCTATTTCACTATGACGTCACATCAAAACAATCTATTGTTTAAACACAAAGGATCATGGTCGTCGGAGGGGGTCAAATCAACGCAAATTCACCGAAAATTGTTCTAAAACCTGTATCAATCCACGAAGAGAAGTAGAAAGGCCAGCAAACGCTCAGAATATTTTTTAGTACATATTAACACATTATATCTGAAAACCAGGCCATTTTAGATTAAACAAATTTTGTTGAATTTTCTATTGGATTTGGCGATTCTATCCCCCACATAAACAAGCAGTGACGTCATTGTAAAATAGGGTAATTGATCTGTTGCAATTATCAGACCTACCGGAATGTATAAGAAGACCGCTGGCCAGTAACAGCGTAGAACACAAAGGCATCGCGATCTGGATGYTCGTTCGCGTGAGCATCAAAGAGCTGTGGCAAGGTTTTGGCTTCCATTGGACGAAGTGGGGGTTTATGGATGTAACTCATATTGTTGGTTTGAGATGCCATGTGGGTACTGCGTGTACAGAAAATCAGCGTGTACAGTAAAAGATGACTTTGAAAGGCCTTTATTTTGGGGAATAAGGGTGGATTGATCTCAGACCACGTGTCATTCTCTTGTGAGTAAGATTCTTTGTTTGAGTTGTATCCATATTCATGTGTTTTCGCATTTGCAACCATTAAACAAAGAAATGGTTGAGAGAATGACACATGGTCTTGAGAATAAGATTCTTTATTTGAATTGTATCCATATTCATGTATGTTTTCGCATGAGCAACCATTAAACAAAGAAATGATACTCTAGAGAATGACACATGGTCTTGAGAATAAGATTCTTGGTTTGAGTTGTATCCATATTCATGTGTGTTTTCGCATGTGCAACTGACCATTAAACGAAGGAATGATAATCCAAGAAATGACACTTGTCTGAAATCGGAAAGCATTTTTAGAGAATAGACCTTTTCATCTATACTTCAGCCATCTTGAATGATCTATTGTTTTCATTAAGCACCGGTGGCATGCGCTGCTAATGCGCCGCCTCTCACCAATGCGGCCCGAGTTCGAGTCCTGCCGATCTCGTTGCCGTATGTGAGTAGAGTTGTTTGTTGGTTCTCTCCTGTGCTTCGAGGGTTTTTCTCCGGGTTCTCCGGTTTTCCTCCCTCCTCAAAAATCAACTACCRAATTCTAATTCGATCTTTGGAGTTTCATCTAGTTTGGAGCCTAGCTCTGTTGTGATTGTCCCACGCTGTGATACAACAGCAAAAGCTAGTAGATTTTTTTAAGATTATGGGATGCGGAGGGTTAACGCCTTTCAACGAGAAGCACATCTTAAAAGCAATTGCATTTGCTTGTAGTGAGACAAATATGTGAAATACCAAGACTTCATTTCCAAACCGGAATCCCCCCACTCTATGCTTTATACATATTCTACGTTTTTAATTAATAATAATTAACTTTGTTTATAGAGGATAACACTTGACAGTAATTCAACTGATAAACTCGTGGTCCTCTGTTAACGCCTCTAGTTAATTAGGGACGGGACCGCCATTAACGTGATCATCCGAGCCACGTGAAGGTCTAACCATTTGCAGATGTAATTACAAAGGCAGCACCTTCTCCTCAGTTGTTTTAAGACCCTGAGTGTTGGTCCGGCCGAGGCTTGAACCACGACCTCCTGCACAACAGACCGACGCTCTTACCAACTGAGCTAGCCGGGTGGCGGTGGCGGGTTTTGACCCCTCGACATTCAATAATTCAAGATGGCCGCCACAGTAAAAAAGTCTATTGAAACAGATAGATTTCAAAAACGTAAATTTTCATTTYAAAATTAATTAATTAATTAATTAATTATTTCGTTTGTTCGTTACTTCGTATTCGTAATATAGAATGACGTCACAAAGCGTAATCAGCTCTTGGCCTGCCTCAGTGTCGGGGTCATATCGTTGACATCGTTCGTTACAGTCAAACCACCTCAAGCGTGAATCGAACAAGTAGATGTCATATAAATGACTTCATTTTTGCATTCTTGATTTCTTCATTCGATTCAAACATTCGACATTGAAAACGAATCTTCAATATTAAAAAAATAATAATAATAGTTTGAAAATTCGATTAACTTGGCTTGTGGCAACTCTTGTTTATAGCAGAAACGAAAGGTAAGTCATTAATATTACATATTCACGAAAAGT